TGAAGAGGCAGTCAAAGAACCACCACCAAAACATACTGGAGAACCAACTAAAGAATTAGAACCTCCCATAGGAGTAGGATACAATGAAGAACATACCAGAGAACCACCACAAGAATCAGAACCAGGTAAAGATCCAAAACCGGGAGAGGAAGTCCCCAGGGAATCTGTACCAGTAGCAGAAGTCCCCAAAGAGACTGAGACAATAGTAGAACCAACAAGACAACCAGCACCAGGAGAACCTGTAGGAGAACCTTCTGGTAAAATGGAACCTACAAAAGGACTTGAAGAGACTGAACCTCATTTAAGACCTGATGAAGATGAAGCTGGTGTTCTTCCAACATCTGCAGATGCAGCAGGGGAACCGTTTAAGGTTGGAGACGACAGAATATCTGAGACGTCAGATAAAGTAGCCGATGGAACAACAGATGTGCCAGAGGAGTTGTTAGTACCACAGACCCCTGAAAGAGAAGTGACTAGTGCAACTATTGAAGGCCCAGAAGACTCAAAAGGGTTACCTGTGACTGAGTTGGAGGGAGGTATTGGACAAGACATAGTAGCTGGATCTCCACATGGTTCTGAAGGGGAAACCATCAAAGAAACTACTTCCCATGAGGTTGAACCTGCGATCAAAGAGACTGAAAATGTTCTTGAAGCTGAAGAACCCAGTGAAACACCTCCAGAAGTCGTGACCAAAGCCCTTCTAGTGACACCTTCAGAAGAAGGATCCATCAAGGCTGTCATCCCTGACGAGCTTCCTTTTGAGGAAATGGTCAAGACTGTCATCCCTGAAGAAAAGGTTAAGACTGTCATCCCCGAAGAAAAGGTCGAGACTGACCTCCCTGAGGAAACAACCAAGACTGACCTCCCTGAGGAAACAACCGAGACTGTCATCCCTGAGGAAACAATAAACACTGTCGTCCCTGAGGAAACAACCAAGACTGTCATCCCTGAGGAAAAAACCAAGACTGTCATCGATGAGGAAACAACCAAGACTGTCAGCCTTGAGGAAACGGTGGAGACTATCATCCCTGAAGAAACAACCAAGACTATCATCCCTGAAGAAGCCACCGAGACTGTCGTCCCTGAGGAAGCCACCGAGACTGTCATCGATGAGGAAACAACCAAGACTGACCTCCCTGAGGAAACAACCAAGACTGTCAGCCTTAAGGAAACGGTGGAGACTGTCATCCCTGAGGAAACAACAAAGACTATCATCCCTGAGGAAACAACCAAGACTGTCGTCCCTGAGGAAACAACCAAGACTGTCATCCGTGAGGAAACAACCAAGACTGTCGTCCCTGAG